CATCATCATTTACAGCCTGTCCCCTACAGAGGGCACCTTTGTCTTATTGGAATTGCTTCTGCAAAAAAAGATAATCGCTGGTTATCAGAGAAATAACTGAGCCTTAAAGAGAGCTCAGACTTCTCACAGACACAAGGACCTTGCTTGCCTAGGCTTTTTAATTAATCAAGTTTTGTACTGTTACTCAGCAGCAAGAAATAATGTTTCTTTCTGCATTTTTATAGTCTCTCCCAAGAAGCGAGGCGATGAACTGAAGATTGCTAGAATTTACATAAGAGGTCAATGAGTGCCGAGACAAATTAAAGAGCATAAATTTAGGGGCTTTTTCTTTCCATCAGTAATTAAGGGATTTGTCATTAAAAAATGTTTCTGAGATGAGTACTAAAAACATTGTCTGTGGGAAAACAAGCTGCAGAAAGAAACTCAACCATTTCCCAGATAAATCTTTCTAATAGACCTCCAATTAGTAATTGCTATCTGAAAGCTGTTCAAGTGGAAGAAAGTAAGATTTTATTCTTCTTTGTAGGGTTAGGTTATCAAACTGACCCTGAATTTTTTATTTGGGAAAAATAACAATTGACTGCAAGACTGAGTCAAAAAGTAATTTTCTTCCTGATTTTTTTTGGTGTGCTATTATTTATGAAGCGTCAAGTATATCATTTTTACTGGTTCTGAGTAAAACTAGCAATACTTTTCTTCTCAAGACTGTTTTCCAGCTCAATCTGTAACACCATCTTCCTTTACAGGCCACTTCACAAATGTGTTAAGACACATGCAAACATCATTGATTTGTAAATGGCAAAGTGAAAATTCTAAAGAATAATCTTTCCTCTGTCATTTTATATATGTCTGACTATTCAAAAAAAGCTACATTTGTAGAAAGAAGCATAAGACATTGCATTATGTGACTCCCGAATAGGCAAATACTGTGTTAGTTCATATTAACTGGGGGGAAAACACACTAATAAATGCATTGGTCACTTTGCATAATGATTTTTTATGGTGTTCCTATCAATAAAAGTTACAAATAGCCTTATAAATTTAACAGGAGGCAACCTGTTGCAAGAAGACACTAACTTCCCAGGCTGGTTTCTGGGACTGACATTGAGTGTAAAGAATCTAACACAAAACCCAGGAAGGAATGTGCCCTGCCTTCCCTAACATTTTTCTAGAAGCTCTTATAGAAAATGCATTCATGTTTACATTTTCAGCTTCAAATACCCAGCACAAAAGCATGGGAACACAAAACCTGAATCTCTGGTCTAGGCTGCTAAATTAATTAAGCAGGACTCGTATTCGTGCGTAATACTTTAATGCCATTGGAAAACTGTTTTGGGGAGCATTTTAGCAAGCTCCTCCTGTGTTATAATTTTACTTCCTCTTTCTTCTGTAATTATAAGCCAAAGCTGGATTCCTAACTAATGAAGGAATTTTTTTTTAAGATTTCATTTTTAGAAGTCAATAGAAATGTTGCCCATGTAAAGATTGCAAGATCAAGAGCTTGTACCTATAAAAATATCCAGTGTGAATGTATGTTTTAAGACAGTTACTGTAATATAAAACAGTTCAAGCTACATTTGCACTAGTGCCAGGAATGTTCCATGGAACATGACAGTCTACACTGTAGAACTGTTTGAATTGCCCTCGGTACACTTTAAGCATCCTAAACCGCAATTCCTGGGTGCAGTTTGAAGGAGAGTGAGGCTGCACGTCCGAGACCCTTCCTGGCTGGAAGGCTACTACTACTGTCCTGTTTTGAACAGGAGAATTTTACAAAGAGGCATATGTGCTAGTTGGCTTTATTGGATAGGAACATTGCACAGGAAAACCAGGCAAGTTTAATTTGCTGGCATAAACCTAGCTTCCAAAACTGTGTTTACTGCAGCCCTTATATACACTGTATTTAAAAGTATTCAGCTATCAGCCCTTACTTGTAAACTGCATGCTGAATTCTAAATTTATGTCAGTAAGAAACAAAACACTCAAGAAAACACTTTCTCAATTATAGATACTTCTATATGCATTATTTTCCTTGTAATTTTTTCAGCTTGATAGGAAAAAATAAAACTTAGAGCTGTTAACAAAATGTTTGTTTTGAATATGGTTGTAGATAGTACAGATTACAAGAGAAAGTAAAAGCCACAGAAGAACATTCTAGAAGTATCTAAACTACTTAGGGGTCCCATTTTCAAAAGAGGACAACTTTACCAGCAGAGAACAAAAGGCCTTCAACAAAAGGGGTACCCATGATATTGACAGTCAAGACACGGTACAGCCCTACAGCAGGTGTGGTTGAATTCAGCCCTTAAAATCTTTCTTTCAGCAAGATGACACATTTTCTTTGAGAAGTAAGAGAGTCTTCCTCCTGGTAGTAGTGTATTTGTCAATTGGCCTAAATTTTCCAAGGAAGAACCAGTGAAACCTTAATTATTACAGACCTCATATTTGAATGCTCATGTTTGTTGCTGCCATGTAGGTAACCTGGCTTAAGTTCTCCTGTCCTGTGGGAACAATAGAAGCTGGATGCATGAAAACTGGTTTCCCACCCTGGAAATGACCTGCCCAACTGGTTATTAGCTGTACCACAGAATGCAAATATGGACGCAGAAGCACACAGCCTCATTTCAGCTTAACCTTCCTTGAAGGTCCACTTGCGCAAATGTAGTGAACCCAAGCCAAGGCTGCTTGTGTTTAGGCATGGATTCTCTCTTCAGAAACCCCCAGCAGCTCTGAGATTTGTGCCTCCATCAGTATGGCCGACAATGGAAACCTGCACACTTGGTGAATTGTGTCGTGAGCTTACGTACTAAGGGATTTTGGTATCTACTAAGTCATGAGATAATTGGCAGTATAAGTGTGGAACCTGAGTTTTGTTGTGGATCTAAGTTGCCCTGTTCCTCTTCACGTGCGAAAACAGAATAATCCTCAACTGCCTGAGACTGATCATCAGATAGAAGGGTGTAATTAAGCAAAAGCACAACAATTAAAACTCTTTCTAACTGGCTAGATTACAGTAATTTAGATGGTGGTAGCTCATTTTTGTTGTTTTGAAATTTACATCTTAAGTTTATACTCACATGTTTAGAAGAACAAATTTTAATAAAACCAACTCGCTAATATAGACTTTTGACTAAAAAGTATTTTGTGTGGATAAAATTTAATTATTTTAATTCACCTTCTTTTAGATGTTTATGATTTTCTTAAATTAATTTATTACTTGAATGTATTCACTGCTTTTCTGTAAAAATTTCCTTTTCTTTTCAAAGTATAAGGATAAAATGTAGTTTTCTTTTTTTTACTCTTTTGTGACTTGGTTTCTTGCTTTCCAGTGTTAAGTGTCTGCCTATAGAACTACAGCTGCACCTAAAGTTATGAATGTGTTCAGGAACTGCTAACTTTGTAAGTATTTTTTATTGGATAAATACTCCAAGAATTTACTTTGTATAAAGACTTAAGTACATAAGCTTAAAACCAAGCATTCATATTAATAAATTTCAGTTGCAGTGAATCACTGAGCACTGAAGAGGAACAGACAACAGTGAATTCAAAATGTCTTAATAAAAGTCTTAAAAGTCTTTTGACATTATCCACAATCAATTTGTATATATTACAAGGGAACTTATTTTGAGTCTACTACTATGCCTTTTTAATTTACTATAAAGACACAGGAACTGTATAAAATGTTTTACATCCATGGCAAGTGTTATCCTGTTTTAAAATAAGTGGATTTTTTTTTTTATGAGAAAATAGAGAAAATCAGGAATTGCTGCAGATTATTTTCAACTAATTTGGTATTTAGTCCTTTCCATATTAATGGGTTTGTGCAACAAATTTTTGGCATAGGAAATTATTTAGGTATACATTTTTGTTCTTTTTATTGATGAAGAATGCACAGCACAAATAAGGGAAAGGTGTGACTGTCAAATCGAGGTAGAGAAGGCATAAATGTTAATCTGCCTTTCATTATCAACCAGATTATTTTAGACCTCGAGCCCAAGGTGCTGCAGAACATATTTGGAGTTTTCCTTCTCTGCTAAACAAGGTCTTAGTATCTTAAGACATTTATACAATGTGAACCAGTGGTTTACTGTAACCTTTTAAAGACAGAGTTAGAAGACAGGTCTAGTTCATCATCACCTACTTGTGCTCCAGTGTGTGTGATATAATCCAAATCTACCTCTTAAAGCTTTGGGAACCCTGCACAGGAAAATGTGGACACTTAAAATGCTGGACACCATTTTAAGTGCTTGGTCTTGGCTGGGAACATTAACCAGTAGTCCAGCCCACAATAAACAATGCAAGAGACATTCACTGCCATTATGAAAGTTTATTATGATCTTATTTACTAGGTATCTTCTATCCAGAGGGCTGTTTGTTTCCTGCCTCGGAAAATTCATCTCCACGTGAAGGAGATAAGACAATCTTCAAGAAAATTTCCATGCTGCCCAGTAACAATCTCTCATGCATATAAACAAATAAACAAATCCCCCAAAACACAACCCCAAAACACCTGAGAAAAGAACAGTGCCTAATAGAAATATCTAACAAATCTGTAGTTTTCAAGTGTCAGGGTGAGGTATCCAAAGCTCAGAAACGTGTCTGGTGTAGTTCATATTTCCCATCAAGGCTTTACAGCCAGGCAGCCCTTCCAGTTCCCTTCACTATGAGTGTGACAATGTATGAAACACTCACCCCATTCACACACCTCCTCAGACAGATGGGGACCAGCAGGGGAAAGACAACTTTTCCATCTCCGCTTTTTCTAAGCTTAGACAATGAAGAAACAAACCCTCACTTAGTCACAGATGGGCTTAAACCTTCTTTTGTCCGTACCACGTTCCCCCGTTCCGCGCCCATTTCCTTGCCCTAGAGGAGGTTTCTGGGCGGGGCGCGGAGGGGCGCGGAGGGGCGCGGAGGGGCGCGGAGGGAGCGCTGCCCCGCGCTCACAGGCACTAGCGGGCGCTGCGCTTTCTGCTCCGCTCCTCCGAGCAGCGATGCTCCGAATGCGATATTCCACACTGCATCCAACCGGCCCGGGGCAGCCGGGGCGGGGCAGCTATTGCTTCCATATAAAGGACTCCGTCTGCCCGCGGACTGTACAGGCAGTTGTCATTTATGTTATTTTACTTTATTGAAGCTGAACTGGGAGAGGTCACTGGTAAGCAAGCACGAGCAATGCAGGCAATTGCAGCCTCTTTACAGCTTCTTTTTTTTTTTTTTTTTTTTTTTTTTTTTTTTTTTTTTTTTTTTTTTTTTGGTCTGTGTGTCTGTGTGTCTGTGTGTGTGTTAAGCATCACCCCGCAGAGCACCCTCCCTGCATCACAGCTCAGGGCTCAGAAATAAGGTGTCTCTTGCTTTACTTCTCTGTTTTTGCTATACAAAACACCCGTGACGTCCCAAAGAAGGACAGCTGAAAGCTGTCGCAGAGCTGTGCATGCTATGTTAAATATTGGCTTATTTTTGTGTGGCTGGCAACATAACTTCTTTGGTTTTTTTGTCCAGGCTGGCGTGGGGGACAATTAATTTAAAAAAAAATCCCCCACTAACACATTTATCTCTTGTTATTTCACAAAGAAGTGATCTCTTTGGTACTATTGCAAGAGATACGCAAAAATAAACCCCAACCTGGGCACGTTGCAGCAGTCTACTTAGCAACTTTCAGACTTTGTTCGTCTGTTTTACTACATAAATACAGTAGACAGAAATGGGAGATAACGCTCCCATGCCAATGAAGAGATCAGTTGCTTGCCTACTCTCGTTTATGACAGTGGAAAAAGAACTGGTTTTCCCTAAAGCAGATTTTTTTTTTCCCGGTAGCCTGATGCATAGAAAGCCAGTGCATTGTCCTCTGACAGCTGATGCTTATCGGGCCGGTGGGGGTATTGTGTTTCAGCTCGTGGCACTGAAAAACCTTGTAACTTTCTTTTGAAGTTAAATGGCTTCGTTTTGTTCCCGTGTGTGAATAACTCTCCGAAGAACTACAGTGACCCAAAAGTCGAACTACAGTGACCCAAAAGTCGACCCGTTTACAACGCCCGTCCAAGAGACCTGTTCCTGTCTCTCGGGCGGAGCTTTGCCCAAGAAGGTCCCCTCGGAGGAGCAGGCGGGCGAGCAGGAGGAAAGGGGGAGGGAGGGGGAGGCTCCTCAATCAGCCCAAGTTGTATCGTAATTAAATTGTGTTTTATCCTAGCGAGGCATGCAAAATATCGAGCAAAATACAAGTTTAAGTAATTTGTTTGTACTCTTACCTGTAGGAGTTGGAAATTAACAGCCCCACTAGTTTACTGTTAAGCCTGGAGAGCGAGAGATTGCTTTGCAAACATTACAGTTATTATGTCTGCAGTTGGTACTCTTTGTATAAATTATTGATCAGCCATCTTATTTTTCTTTCTGCTTAATGGATATTATAGCATAGCCGTTTACACGCTATAGTTAATGTTGTGTCAGCACTTCCATTTATAACATCCCCCTTTACCCAGAGTTTATAACTCTCTATAAAATTCTGCTCTGTGCTGAAACTTTTCAAGCAAGGGCTCGGACTTTTAAAAATTCTCCTTCACTCCCACCCAAAAAACCAATTAATAATGTGTGTCTGTTTTTTTTTTTTGAAATATGGGAATAATAAAGGTAACACCCTTCCCCCCTCAAATGTTTTCCATTCACTTAAGTGACATGAGGAAGAAGAGGCTGCGTCTCGCAGGCTGTCAGTTCTTATATAAAAAGAAGGCAGCAATGTGCATTTTTTGTCGTTATTAATATTGTTACGGGAAGCAATTAGCGCCGGAGCGGCAGCCGAGCCGCCACCCTCCGCCCGGCCGGGCGCGGGGGCCCGATCGCCGCCCGCCTCCCCTCCCATCGCCCCGCGGGCGGCGGCACCGGGGGCTCGGCGGGGTCGAGGGATGGATGGAGGGAGGAAGATTCAGCCGCTCCCCCCAGCTCCCGGGCACGGAGCAGGAGGAGCGGTCCCCTTGTACCGACAGAGAGCCGCATCGGAGAGCCCGGAGCACTGAACCCGGGGCCGGCTCCCCGGTGCCAGTGCTCCGGTTAGCCTGGGTTGGGAGCGAGGGATAGAGCGGCTGAGCGAACTAATTCTGTAAAAGGGGGAAGGCAAGGCAAAGGGCAGCTCAGATTAGATCACCGCTTTAACATAATTTACTGGCAAGGGCTTTGTACTTCATAATTATTGCTCCGAGCGATTCTTCCTACCTGTTGGTAGGTGAATTAGTACGTTGGACTGAGGACCTCTAATGAGAGCCCAATTCTAACTCAAACATCACAGAGGGCTCCCGTCTATCCCAGCCCTCTTTTAAATCACGCAGGGAAGTTGGTTATCATTTCCTCCCCGCGCTGCAGTTCTCCTGCTCGGCTGTCAGTTGTCAGGTGAATGTCAGCAGGCAGTGCCCAGCCACTGCTCCATCCCTCCATCTATCCATCCATCCATCCATCCATCCATCCATCCATCCATCCATCCATCCATCCATCCATCCATCCATCCCGAGCCAGCCCGGGAAGGGACCACGACCCGATCCGTTTCACCGTGTGGCTCTGGTAGCAGCAACGTGACCTCAGATCGACAGAAGGGCTCTTTTAGTTACTGACTTCGAAACGCCTTTTCTGAAGTCAGAATAGCGATTTAAGAGGGGGGAAAAAAATCGTAAATAAGCAAGTAGCTTAATTGGCGTTTGGCTTTTGCAATTTCCATATATGCGCTTGTGCGCGGTGTGTGTGGGGCGTGCGTGTGTGTGTGTCGGATGCCGGCGAGGAGGAGGGAAGGGATGAGAGGGCTCCCGAGCCGTCGGTTATCGCATCTCTCAGGACAGCGCGTCCTTGCCCGGATCGCCAGTTAGCATCCCCTGGGATAACACCCACTGCTCGAGGGGATGAAGGGGAAGAATTGAGGGCTAAATCCTGCCCCTCTACTCAGGCGGTGAATACCCTCGGAGCCAGCGAGCTGACTCGCGGGAGTAAAGCCGGCAAAAGCCGCTCTAGCGCTGAAGTGACGGGGTTGGGGTTAGGCAGGGCGTGTGAGAGCTGCCAAGCCCCAGCAATTCCCCATCCAGCTCTGTGCGAGTGATTGCCAGCCTCTGCTCTCAGCTCTCCGGCTGAGAGGTTCACATTAAACACCAGCGCAAGCAGGAGCAATGCTCCCAGAATCTCGTTTTTAAGGACTTTAAAAGTTATTTTTAATGGCTCCAGAAGTTTCTTCACTTTCATTCTTCCATCACTTTTTTTTTCCTTTGTTAGGCAGGCACCATATGTAAATGCAATTTGTAGTAAACAGAATGTGAAAGCAATCTTGCCATGTATTTTGGATTTTTTTATGATATATGGTGGACTGTTCAGAAATGCATGCTATTGTTAAAGCTGTTTGTGCCCAGTGTACTAATGTACTGTTTGATTGAGTGAATTAGCAGTCATAACAATCTGGCAGTCTGGCCATAGAAGTGTGCTCAAATTGATTTGTGTTATGGCTGGACTGGAAAATCTAGTGTTAGTTGTTTTTTTTACCCTGGGGCATTGTTTGTACCAAACTCCACTTTTCATTTAATTTTCCAATAGATTTTTGAAAGACCAAAAGGTTTGTGATCAACGTTTGCTGCACTTTATTATTATTCAGCTATTAAAAATATCCTATGAGTAATTTCAGGTTCCCCAAAACCTTGTTTTCAATTAGAGTAAACATAATTAGCGTGACGTCGTGCTTGGAATGGCAAATCTCCCTTTGTATCTATTAAGCATGTTATCGTCTTGTCCTGTCACTGAAAGGAATCCAGTTTGTATTTGTATTGGACAAGGTTTTGTGCTACTTTGACTATAACACAACAATTACAAAAACAGTGCTGCAGTATCCAGTTTCTTACTACTGATACAACACTTCTCATCAATCTCAATTGTATTCATGGTGTTTGTCAATGTTTAGTAAATGTCTTGGTGGAAGAGAAGCAAAAAGGGATCCTTTTTCACACACTTACATTTATATGAGTCTATTTTCCTGAGCGATGCAGGGGGGATTCTGTATGAGGTCCCTCCCTCTTTCTCAGTCTTCCCTCTAAATAGCAGATAGCTTTTCAAAGGGGGATTGCTGCTCGAGACCTGAGATTAAAGCAAAGCAGAACTTACCTTCTCTTTGCCAGTACTTGCTCCTTTCTTAGAATCTCTGCTCGGCAGTTGTTTGCCAGAATTATAATGCAGCATGATTAAACCTAAAACATCACTCTATTGATCACACAGAAAGCTTTGTGAAATCATCTAGTTTCTCTTCAGAAGCAGTGAACAAAATAGGTCACTATACAGGGGTAAGACAAGACACAAGACTGAAAGGTATTTCTCAGGAAAATAAACTCCAAAGAAATTCAGGGGAAAAAATGTCGATGAACTTAACATGATAATACACTATTCATCCTTACCAGGTGCCTATCTTCTGTTGCATCCCATCCCCCGGTCCATTCCTTCACACACGTTCAGAAGACAAATACTTTTCTGGGGTGTTTTACTGAATGAATTTAAATATTTAATTATCAGTAATAACTGAAGATGGGGGAGGGAGCTGGTGCACTATCCTAGCTCCTGTCAGTCAAGTGTTCAAATTCCTTAAAATGCAACAGCTACAATGCATTTTGTAATTGCATTTTACCTTTTACAGCTGCCCTCAAAATTGTAATTTAATAAAATAGTGAAGTCCGTATCAGTCTTTCTTTAAAAGCAATAAATTACAATCACTGTCAATACATCTTCCTGTTTTAACATACATTTTAAAATACCAGAATGGTAAAAAGAAAAAAGAAGAAAGAGAGAGAATACCTGCCCTGAACAGCTACATGAGCTGAACAGAAACCCTGCTTCAAACAATATTCCAGGAAAGAAATTAAAGACTTCTTAATTAGTGCAGCAATTAAGCTTTCTTGGTCGCATTTTAATCAGCCCAGGCCCTATCAAAGGACAAACAGAACGATTTGCAGGTCTTTGAATTTTAAACAGTCTTATTGATTTCAGCACCATAAGTCTTCACTTGACACAGGGAGAATTTTCAAATATCAGTTACAGTAATTTGAGTTTTGTTGATATCAACTCAGAGAGAGAAAAAGAAAACACCCAACAATATCATTACAAGAAAGTGTCAGCAAGTAAGAGAAATGCAATCTAGGTAAGTTTACCAAGAATGACCTCAGGATTTATTGGTTTATGTGAGTGTGTCAGTATAGGTGTGAGTTAAATTAAATTGAGACACTCCCTATAATAATTAGAAACACTTACCATGCCAGAAGCTTTGAGGAGTCTTAGACCTTTTCAAAAATCTTTCTTTTTAGGTTTCTAATCCCAGTTTTGAATTGGAATCACCAAGGTTAACCCAAACCCCTGGTAGTAAACCCGTTCAAACTACATTTTCCTTTGGACCATGAGAATTATGTATCTGTGGGAGCACACAGCAAATAGAAAAACAGAAGAGCTGGTGTGCATCATGTTGTAGAAAAAGTAGAGAACAAATGAAGTGGTAGCTTTCCTAATTCAGAGTTCACCCAGATCTCCAAGTGGCAATATTACGCGTGTCTGGATCTGTCCTGATGTTCTTATGGAGCTGTTCTGTCTTCATAAGGTGTGAGAGAAGGTGATGTGCAAAAAGAACAGGTGAGGGAAAGAAAATATGGACAGAGTTGGCTTTCCACAAGTGAAAAAAAGAGAAAGAGGCAGTGTATTTAGATTTTGAAATTACAAGTTTTATGCAACACTAGATCCCACCACTGGGATCCCACCACTGGGACGCAAGTTGTATAAGCTGCTCCAGATAAACATTCTCAGAAAAACCCACCTAAAAATGGCTCAAATAAGTGTTCTGCACAATCATGGATACACAAAACTTTTAAGTAAAACATTAGTCTGTGTTTTCATGGTTTTATTTGCAATTTTAAAGATTTTAGTGCAGGACAGCTTAAATTTCACTAGCAAAAGGTGTCCTAAGTGGCACTAGAAAAAAATTCTCGTAAATTAAAGTACAATATGCAAGCAGATCATGCGAAAATAGTTTATGTCTGATACTGTGGAAATTCCCGTCCACCAAATTACTACAGTTGAGATTATCCACTCTACAGATGTGTCATCCCGTGAGTCATGTAATAGTATCATAGGAAAAAAAAAAGGCTATGGGCACATACATGCATCGCAATTAAGTACACACAGGGTGGATTCTTGAAACAGGAAGAACTACGCACGCACCGACCCCTGCCTTTGCAGACCGCCCCCCATCTGTACCAGTGGCCATGTCTTTACCCCTTCCAAAGTGCGAGGTGCCCTCAAGACCCGCAGAAGCCAGCCCCGGGCTTTCCCGACGGAGCCCGGCACGCCGGCCGCCGAGCGCGCTCCAGCCGCATCCCGGCTCGGGGCCGGCAGGTACCGCGCCTGCCGCCGCCCCGCCGCGCATGCGCGGCCCAGCGCGCCGGCTGACTTTGCGCGCTCTCGGGCGCGGAGGGGACGGGCCGGGGCTGCGCGGCTGCTGCGCGCCGCCGGCACCTGTTGCGCGGCGGGACCTGCGCGGGTCGCCCGCCCCTCTCCAAGTTACTTCTGTGCCGCCGCAGCCCGCTCGGCGCGGCGTCCGGGCGGCCTAACCCGTGGTGCTCGTCCCCCCGATCCGCGGCCGCCGCAGGAAAGTCCTCTGCGGATGCTGCCGCGTGGGGCTGCCCGTGCGCGCCCCGCGCAGCCGCCGCCGCCTCCTGCCGCGCAACAAAGGGGACCCTCGGCAGCA